CACGCGGTTATTCTTCCGTCGCGCCTAGATCGATGACCTCCTCTCCAGTTCTGAGGGACAAGTGCGTTCGACCATGTATCGCATGCACAACATTTACTGTTTAAACACCGTTGGATCGCGTCTTGCACATGTTTTGAGCTTTTTCTTCACTTCGTGCAATGAATTCTTGACCAAAATGGCACCACACAAACGATGAAACAAGTTATTTTTCCTTTCTCGGTTTCTCGATATGACCGATTTTGGATGATCCTATCTCTAGTCTTGTCGATAATCAAAATGCCGAAAATTGCACGTGACAGTTTGTCTCTGTGACAATCAGTATGAAAATGCGTTTTCAAACACGCAACACGCTGTAAACCAGTACGCGAGTAAGGGATGGACCATCGTCATGAGGATGCATGCGATCGAATATGCTGGTGACTCGATGCTTTTGTTAGCTCGCCTATTCATCGACTCGAGAGGCGACAGGCTCCTGCATGACGTTATATCCCCTCCCTTTTTCGATTGCAATCGTGCCATTACGTTATGCCTCTCGTGCATCCATGTCAATCTCGATTTTACTTTGTTGCTGACTGCTAATACAAAAGTAAAGCTAGACAAGCACAAAAATGCATAGTGCAGAGACATCGGCATCGTTCCCAGTCGTCGACCAGACGATATGTGCACATACAGCGACACTGACGCAGTGTCATACCCAACGTCGAGAAAAAAGGTACAACTTGACCATCTACATGAAAAAAAGCGCCCGTCTGCTTCTCACTTGGAATAAACTGCGCGCGTCGCAATTGTACCGATACTTTGCCAAACTACTACCGGTGTTACCAAGACCGCATACATTACATTTCCCCTAGCCGCATCGCTTCAACGCGCAACGTCCGGCGTCATGGAGTTCCTCGCGGAGGAGAACGACTGCGGCCAGACGCTGCTCCGTCTCGTGAGTCGCGGCAGCGCCATCATCGCGGAACTGCTGCGTCTGTCCAATAACATTCCGGGGTACGCAGCTGCTCTGTGGTCGCGGATGAGCGCCGCACGCCGCCGTGTAATTTATTTTTTCGTACTCGACGTGACTGACGATATTTTTCCCTCTCTCTCTCTCGTTTATCATTTGATACCGTAGCGTCTTCATGGGACCGTCGCATGTGGAAGACCCCGAGCAACTCAAGTACCTGGCGATTCTCTTTGATTTTTCGTACCTGAAAAACCCAGAAGATTTTGAGAACATGGTCAACAGCAACACGGTGGGTGGGTCAAAAAGCCCAGCATGGGTTTTTCAGCAGACATACGCACCAACAATACCCGACTCGGCCGCGTGTGCTGATGGTTGGACTGTATTAGGAGCTACTGGATGTGGACGACGAGTTCATGGACAACCACGAAGACATTCTGGACCGATTCTACCAGCTCTTTGATGGCATTTACAAGGTATGCTCGCTCACGACCGCACGCTCGATCGAGCCAGGTTCGGGTTGTCTAGTATGTGGTAAAAGACTGAAGTTGTGCTGTGTGTGCGTGTAGTATATCAGTGACTACTTGGAGTTTCTCGACAACCTCGAGAAAGGGTTTTTCATTCAGCATACACTGGCCAACATTCTTCTGGACACGGATGGCGCTCAGCTCATGTGCGAGGCGTTGTATCTCTACGGAGTGATTCTGCTGCTGCTGGATCGCAAGATCCCTGGCCCGACGCGTGAGAAGATGGTCATTGCATTTTACCGAAGCAAGGGCGAGTCGGCACTGGAAAACATTGACGAAGTCTGTAAACTGTGTCGCGTGACGGGATACCTGCCCAACCAGGGAAAGCCAGCTCAATACCCCGAGCGATACTTTCGGCGTTTCCATCCGCCAGAAGAAGTTGTCAGTATGGTCATCGGTAAGCTGCAGTCAGACGATGTGTATTTGCAAGAGCCTTGCTTCCCCCACCGCACCCATCGCTCGACCCGACTTGCAGGGCAAGCTTCAATGCTGTTTGTGATTCTGTTCTTTGCGCCGGACATACTCATTCACGAGAAGTCGAGCATGCGTGAAATCGTGGATCGGCACTTTAACGACAACTTCATCTTGACGACGTACATGGGAGCAGTAGCTGACCTATCACTGGAATGGGCGGCTTATCCAGCGGCCCGCTTGGCGCTTGCAAACACGCTGGAACCGTCGAACATTGCTCACATTACGAAGAAAAAAGCACAACAGATGCAGCGATCGATCGACGAGCTCAACTACTTCCTCACTGAAGGCGTGCTGACCGAGATGTACGTGCTGGAGAACCTCGATCCGCTGTTGAACTGCATTCGCAATGCTAATGTGACGATCCGGTGGACGATGATGCACTCACGCATTCAACCGGTGATCCCCATGATGAAAGACTCCGCGGCGCAGCGTGAGATCTTCGACAAAGGTACCGACCCAGATAAGCTGATCACCTTGTTGCTCAAGGCATCTCAGTTGGAGTGGAAGCTGAAGCAAATGTTTGAGGCGCTGCTCGCTAGTAAAGAAGACCGGTGGCAGCGCTGCATGAAAGAAACATCAGAACGCATGGAGGAGCTTAGCGAGTATTTCTCTGGCGAAAAGCCACTCACTCGCGTGGAACGCAACGAAGATCTGATGAAGTGGTTCAAGGACTTGGCCGACAAGGTCAACAGCTTGGACTACATCGATCACATCAAAGCTGGACGGCGCATTAAGCGCCTGATCGAGGCGCTGGGCCACGTTGAGCAGTTTGACCAAATTGACACGAATCTCCAAGTCAAGGCGTACCTTGAGGAGTCCCGCGAGTTTCTCACCGAAATGGTGCGGACGGTCCGCATTCGAGATGAGGTCATGGGCATTATCGAAAACGTGTCGGATCTGTCGTATGCGTGGGAGATCATCAACGACTTCATGAAGATATTGCATCAGCGTGTGAAAAGCGACCCGTCGTCTGTCATTCTGCTTCGTGCGATGTTCCTGAAGTTCGCGTCGATCCTAGATGTGCCGCTCACGCGTATACACCAGTGTGGTTCCGAGGACGTAATCTCGGTAGCTGAGTACTATTCTGGTGAGCTCGTGGACTACGTGCGGCGTGTAATGGAAGTGATTCCACAGAGCGTCTTCCGTATATTGGCGGGTATCATCAAGCTCCAGACCGACCACATGAAGTCGATTCCCGTGAAGTTTGAGAACACGTTGCTGAAGAACCACGCCCAGCTGAACGAGCGTTACCGCCTCGCGCGCGCAACCAACGAGGTTTCTAAGTATACTGAGGGCATATTGGCCATGAAGCGCACCTTGCTTGGTATCATTGAGGTAGATCCTCGGCAAGTGCTGGAAGACGGGTTGCGCAAAGAGCTCGTCTATCGTGTCTCGCTCGCTTTCCACGAAGTGCTCAACTTTGAGAAGAACACATCGAAAGAATGCAACGAGGTTTTCGTCAAGCTGGCCTCCAACCTGGATGCCTACCGGCTCTCGTTTGAGTACATCCAAGACTACATTGGCATTTATGGGTTGCGCATGTGGCACGAGGAGCTCTCTCGTATAATCAACTACAACGTCGAGCAGGAGTGCAACCGCTACTTGAAGAAGAAAGTGTATGACCGCGCATCCCAGTACCAGAGTCGGGCTATCCCGATTCCGCGCTTCCAGCCGACATCAGGCGACATGAGTGTGAACTTCATGGGCCGTCTCATGCATGCGCTCTTTATCATGACTGATCCGCACACGACTACCTACTCACCGCAATCTATCGGTTGGTTCTCAGAAGATGGTCATGAAGTATGTGGCATCGGTGCCTTTTCGGTTCTTCACAAGAGTGTGGGTCTGCTGGGTCTCGCAGGTCTCGATCGCATGCTTTCGTTCCGGATTGTGCACACACTCAACAACTTGGTCAAGTTCTGGGGATCAGCTGTCACTCCTTACTTGCCGCTCTTGGACCAGCTATCTACAGCGCTTGCGCCCGAGTGGAAGCTGCCCGAGCACTCGACAAAGCTGTACGAAGCTGCGCTGAAGAAGGTGGAGAAGATCATGAGCAAGCTGCTCAAGGCCGTGCTTATCGTTGGTCAGGCCGCACTCATCCGGCGACAGATCTCGAGCGAGCTCTCGTTCTCTAGCCGTCTCGATGCGAATTTGCTAGCGACGACACTAGACACGCTGAACATTTCGCTTCTGAACGACATTCGCGCACACTACCGTGATCCAAAGAACAAGCCTTACCCGGGCACCGACGGGAACCCCGTGCTCGTGGAACTGAACAAATATCTGGAAAACACGGGTGCGAATGATCCGTTCCAGAAGATTTACGTGACTGTCGTAGAGCCTATGGAAGGACTTGCTGCCATGTTCATGCTCTTTGTGGTGGCTTACATGCCAAAGCTGCAGTACGACCGGAACTTCGGTGCGCTCAGTCGTGTCGGCAAAAACCCGATCGATGGCGAACCTTTGCTCGTCGGTATCCTGACAATCCTCAAGCAGTTCCACCCTTCGTACACGGACAAGTTTCTGGCGTACTTGGGTCAGTTTGTGCGTACCAAAGTCAATGACGTTTTTGCCGAGACTGCTGAGAAGAAGAGCAAGTCGTCAGCTCTACCAACAGAGCTGCCCGTGGACGTGATTAACACGCTGATCTTCATGCTCGAGTTTGCGCGGTGTGCGAAGATCAAGCGCACGATTCTGGATGGCCACGTTCCTGCGTATGTGTTTGATGCTATCCAGCTCTAAGCTCAACAACACGGCTCTTGCTTTTTTTCGGACACAGACAGGTCAATGCACTTCTTGTCGACACTTTGCTTTGAGAATGCTGCGAAGTGGTTGCAGATTGGCCAAAGGTACACAGACACGAGCACACACACACACACACAGCTCAAGGATGAAAAAGTGAATACACGTGACACGACACAATACACAATGAATTGCCCGTCACGTCCGTTCATGTCAACTTTTGCCGAAATATCACACTACATTGTCCTCACTCGCAATTCCCCAAATTTCCATCGACGACATCGAGAGGTCCGATCGACCCCTTAGAAAACATGCGACACGACTTTACGGAGCCATCTCGAGCCATATTCGTGCAAAATGACCTGCGCCACTTCGTGGGGTCCCCGGTGCGCCTCCCATCTCTGCTTCAATGTGTATCCATCCGTCTGTCCATATGTGTCGAGCGTTGATAAGCCATGTAACTGATCCGGCCGCTGCTCTGTCGTTTGACCTCTTCAGGCTCAGCAAATGATCGTAGTATTTGTCAAGCACCTGAACGAAAGTGTGAAGGGAAAGCGCATATCGAGTGACTACGAAGTGTCTCCGGTACTTGTACTGCCACTTGGCTGTTGTCTCGAGTGGACGGAACGTGAACAAAAGGCGGACAAAGGACTCACTCGTGTGTCGAAACGTGTGTCACTATGTGTGTGTGGTGGGACGCGATGCCAATAGAACGTGCAGAAGGCCGTGGACCTCGTGCACGAGATCGACTCCTGGATCGATGAGATTCCACCCATTCAGCAGCCAATGCGCTTTGGCAATCAAGCTTTCCGCACCTTTCACGATCGCGTGCTCGAGGTATGTCGTGTGTGGGAGAGAGGGACCTAAAGCTTGACGTAGGCTGAATGGGATCGCCGTCGCCAAAGAAGTTGTCGGAATACCAGACAAGTGTCGACACATTGATATGATTTCGTCGGGTGTTTTCTCATAGTGTGTGTGCGTGTGTGTTGTTCGAGCAGAGAACGCGTGGAATGCAGGAACAGACGCTGCCAGAAGAGCACCGGGAAGCTGTCATTGAATTAGCAGCGTATCTCGAGGACTCTTTCGGAAACCGCGTCCGGATCGACTATGGCACGGGTCACGAGACGAGCTTCATTGTGTGGATGTGTACGCGTTGCGAGGTGATGAGTGTGAAGTAGCGCAGTAGTGGGGCTGACAACGTCGATGGTGTGACCAGGTTGTCTGCACAAGATTGGCTTTTTCAAGCAGTCGGACTTCCCAGCACTGGTGCTGCGGCTGTTCAATTCGTACCTGACGCTAATGCGCCGACTGCAGAAGCAGTACATGCTGGAGCCAGCAGGCTCACATGGTGTCTGGGGACTCGATGACTACCACTGCCTGCCATTCTACTTTGGGTCTGCCCAGCTCATTGGACAGCACGAGATCCTGCCTGAAAGTGTGCACGACGACAGTGTGCTCGAAGCGAATTGCCAGGAGTACTTGTATCTCGACGCAATCAAGTTCATCAAGGAAGTGAAGGCAGGCTCGCCCTTTGCCGAAACGTCCCCGATGCTGAACGACATCAGTGCGCTACCCTCGTGGGAAAAGACCAACAGCGGCATGCTCAAGCTGTACGAGGGCGAAGTCCTGAAGAAGTTGCCGGTCATCCAGCATTTACGCTTCGGTACGCTGTTCCCCTGCACGTGGACGCCAAGCCACAAAGCCGACGACGGATCGACGTATACTCCAGTGAGCACGCGTCCAGGAACGAGCGTCCGTGCTCCTCCGACTTCTGGTCTAGAAGATGTGTCGACCAAAGCGCCATGGGCTACTGCCACAGCGCCTGCAGCTGTACCGACCACTTCGATGCCACCCGTGTGTCAAGCTAAACAGACACCGAACAAGTGATCTCGTGGCCATATGGTACCAGAAAGAGGAACAGTGCGGTACGATTGCGTGACGGGGTGGGTGCTCCTGCGAAACGGGTGGGTGATGCCAATCAAAATATGAAATGCCGTGCCTGTCTGGCCTCCAGAGGTGCTTTGTTGTTGTTATTGTTGTTTTGTGCACGGACCCTCGCAAGGTATCTTGAACCGAGGAACGTTCCGGTCGTGGCGTCTGGTTGTGCTGTTGTTTTGTACTATAATTTGCAGGACTTGTGGTTGTTGCGCGGGTGGATCGTGGCAAACGCGCTGTGTCGCGGACTGATGACTCATCGCCGTGGACGCTTGACAATGGGATTACTGCATCGTTTGTGTCGCTGAGGTGTCACATGGTCGAACGGCGTCACCTGTCGGCTCACGGGAGTGGAAAAAGGCTACGTGGCTTCAGCGATCCCGCTCGATGAACAGAAGACGGACGAAACAAACAAGAACGAAACGGTCTGTGGAGACTGCGCGGTGCACGACCGAGCGAGTTGTCGAGACTCGAATGCCTGAAGAGTGCAGCTGTTTTGCCGCGACACGAGAAGACCTGCAAGCAGAGAGCTGCAACTGAAGACTATCCGCGAACCGTGAGGTGGCCCATTTCCCAGCCAGTCAAGAGAACACTGATCACGCGTCGACTATTGTGGTGGCAGGAGAACAGCTACGCCACGTGCGCCGCGCTGATGCGACACGCACGACAACGATATGTCAGCATTACTCATGCAATAGCGGACACGACAACAGGTGGATCTCGTTCGCGACGACCGAGACAAATGGAACAAGTGAACACGTCGTACTGGAAGCGGAGCAACAAAGCGCCAGCGCCGCACAAATGTCCACGACGAGTCTGCAGTCAAGCCAACAATCGGACTGTACCGCCTTCTTCTTGCCTTGTGGTCATCTGGTCGGCGATGAGGCACCACGTGTGGTCCCGTTTGCTCATTTCACACGTCCGCGTTATGGCACTTTTCGCGACTATGCACCGCACCGCAACTCAGATGTCGAGACTGGTTCGTCCGCTGCTCTTTCTTTCCTCGCTCGGCCACGGCCGCAGCCTGTCGTGGTAAACGTTCATTGCTGTTCGGCGCGACGCCATTGAGCCCAAAAGGCGGCCGCGTAACCCCCTTCTTCTTCTCCACCGCCGTCTTTAAAATGTACGCAATTGTGAATGTAAACCTGCGGGTTGACATGATCTGCTGTAGTCGGCATTCGGATACATCATGGGCTTTGTCACACACCCCCTCACCCGAGTTCGATGGGCGAACGGCTCGAGCGTAGATTTTATCTCGTTGGGGCAGCAGTCGGTCTGCGATTGGAACACGTAACACTTCTTCGAATCTGCGCATCTGGTCACGCGCAGTTCGCTCGTGATGAGCTCTTCTTCCTTTTTTATCAGTAGACAAGAAACAGAAAATAACTGACAAAAGCTGAAACCACACACACACACACACACCTCCTGATGCGGACGTCAAGACGGAGCCAGGGGCCGTGAAGGATCGATCGATGGAGAGTCTACGCGCAGTCAGACCGTTCACGTCGTTGACCAAAGGGCGGCAAAGCGGAGCGACGTCTGGAATATCATCGCACGAACTTCCTCGACGACAGGACGACGAGTAGCTGGATGGGACGGGTGCAGCTCTTTGCAGTAAGAACATCTGCAGCTGTTGTCGTCCGGTCGTCTGCCTGCACGCCGATCCGAGCTGACCACCTGTCGTCCGCTCGCGTAACCGACGGCAAACGAAAGCGCTGCCGGCCCGACCGGTCCCTTTTGGTGCGGAATCGCATCACCCCATTGTCCATCGACGGACTGGCGCGGAGACCTGAGCGCTTTTCCCAGCACAACCAGACTCGAGATAAAAAAAGCGAAGCACAACACCGTCGGATTGCGGTGGAAGATGAACACACCGTAGCTGTCCCATTGTCTATCGACTCACGAGTGTTTGCCCAGCCCACACTCGATCTCACTTGTAGCAAATCCGTAGTACAAAGAACCGGTGAAGCTGCAGAAGTATCTAGTGGCTCGATCCCCCATTCCCAGCCAGATGCTCGTTCGGTACTTGCGTTCGACTGCATCGTTACACTACATGTGCTACTCGCAACAACAGCGATGTCCGCACGCAACAACAACGTCTCTGCTACAACTATCAGCTCGCGAGTGCACGAAAAGAACACTCGAAGAAGAAACGCGGCGCTCGTTGCACCATAGGCCTCTCAAGTTCTCGCTCGTCCCGAGACGTGTCTTGTCGGAAACGTAACGCCCGAAACTGGTTCGCCCCAGCCGGTCCACTGGCGTGCGGTCTCGCAGTCGCTTGTCGCACGATCGTGTGTCTCGCCCGTTGCTGCCGTCCGTCCTGCCCGCCCGCGCGCGCCAGAATCTGCTTCCCACCGCATGGGTACAAAACCCGGCCACGCACACCCTCCGCGACCCGCCTGTCGCGCCCTTTCCCAGCCCGCGGCCCCGTCGCTCCAGCCCGCTGACTGGCTGCGGTGATTCGTCCGCTTGACTGGCGGAGACGCCCCAGACGGATCCCACTCACCCCCTCCACCCACTCGTCCGTCCGCCCGCCCGCCCGCTCGTCCCTCTCGCGCTGCTCCACTCGGCCCAGTGATTCATTTTGGAATTCGCTCTGTCGCGCCCACACGTCGAGCGAAGAGCCACTGCCCACTCCCCGCACAGCGTTCCCCGCCGTCGCCCACCGACCGGTTTCCCCCCAACTCGCTCCCCCCCTCTCTCTCTCTCTCTCCTCGGGTCTCATGGCTCCGTTCGCCCCCACCGACGGCATCAGTCAGCTCGCGCTCGACCAGAGCAAACACTTTACCGACGCGCTCCACGAGGCGTTCCGGAGCTCGAGCGACGCGCACAAAGTCGCGGCCGAACAGGTGTCGGAGCTCGTGAGCAGCGACGCGTCGCTGAACTTGGGCGTCGTGGCCCAAGCGCTCCGCACGGCGCTCACGGGCGAAGATGCCGAGGCCAAAACAGTGGCCGCGCTGATCGTCGACGACCTCATGCAGAAACACGCGGAGCGCGTGGAAGCGTACTTAGTGCCGCTGCTGTCGGTGTTTCTCGACCTGTTGGCCGACAAGAAGCCGACGGTGCGCCCTGTCGCGCACGAAGCGGCGCTCACGATCATCAGTGCCGCCAATAAGAACTCGACGATCCGTCTGTTGCCGATTCTGTTTGCTGGTTTGGATCGCACCAAGAAGTGGCAGACGAAAAAGGGCTCGTTGGACCTCATTGCGGAGCTGTCGAAGGTCGCGCCGTACCAAGTGGGCCGCTGTCTGCCCGACATTATCCCGCAGGTCACGGACTGCATGTGGGATACGCGGAAAGAGGTGAAAGTCGCTGCGAAAGACACGATGACAAAGGTCTGCAACGTGGTGGGCAACATGGACATTGAGCCGTTCATTCCCGCGCTCGTGAGCTGCCTCGCGAACCCCACGGAAGTCGCCGAGTGTACGCACAAATTGGCGTCGACGACGTTTGTCAAGACGGTGGAAGCGCCGGCACTGGCGATCATGGAGCCGCTGCTGAAGCGCGCGCTAGCCGAAGGCAAGACGGCGGTCAAGCGCCAGGCGTCGGTCATTATCGACAACATGTGCAAGCTCATGGACGACCCGGCGGAAGCGCAGTTGTTTATTCCGAAGCTCTTGCCGGGCTTGAAGAAGGTGATTGAGACCCAGGCGGACCCCGAGTGCCGCGAGGTGGCGACGCGTGCGCACGAGACGCTGTTTGTCGCTGGTGGGTCCATGGAAGTGTCGGAAGACGAGCTCAAGGTCGACTACGAGAACATCCACAAGGTGGTGATTGAGTCGATTGCTGCCAGTCCAGCGGCGGTCAAGGCCGGCATTGACAGCTTTACCGTGGACTACGTGACGGGCATTTGCTACTTTTTGGTGGTCGCACGCAACTTCAACAAGAGCGTGTTTGAGAAGGAGATTGGCGCGTACTTCAAGGCGTTTTTGAGCCCCGAGGCGCTGAAGCCAGTGGCGAATGAGATCCGCGACCGCTGTTTCAAGGAGAACAAGTCGATCTTTATCGACGACGTGGACTGTGACGAGGGCATCCCCGACCTGTGCAACTGTGAGTTTTCGCTTGCTTACGGTGGTATGATCCTGCTCAACAACGCCCGTCTCCGTCTCAAGCGTGGTCACCGTTACGGTCTATGCGGTCCCAACGGGTGTGGTAAGTCGACGCTGATGCGCGCCATTTCGAACGGCCAGCTCGAGGGGTTCCCGAGCCGCGACGAGCTGAAGACTGTGTTCGTGGAGCACAACCTGCAGGCTTCGGAGGCGGAGCTGTCTGTGGTGGAGTTCATCCTGGTGGACGAAGACTTGAAGAACACGCCGCGCAAGGAGGTCGAGGACACGCTTGCTGGTGTGGGCTTCACGCCCGAGATGCAGGCTCAGGGCGTCGGCACTCTTTCTGGTGGTTGGAAGATGAAACTGGAGCTGGCCCGTGCGATGCTGCAGAAGGCGGATATCTTGCTGCTGGATGAGCCGACGAACCACTTGGATGTCAAGAACGTCGCGTGGCTGGAAAACTACCTCACGGGTCTGACAAACGTGACGTCGATTATGGTGTCGCACGACTCTGGTTTCCTCGACAAGGTGTGCACCAACATCATCCACTACGAGACGCGCAAGCTGAAGATCTACAAGGGCAACCTGTCGAAGTTTGTGGAGCAGAAGCCCGAGGCGAAGGCGTACTACGAGCTCGAGTCGGAGAATGTGAAGTTCACGTTCCCCGAGCCTGGTTTCCTCGCCGACATTAAGAACAAGGGTAAGCCGATCATTCGTCTGACGAAGTGCTCGTACCAGTACCCAGGCACGACCAAACCGTCGATCAACAACATCTCGGTGACGTGCGCTCTCTCGAGTCGTATTGCTGTGCTCGGTCCCAATGGTGCCGGTAAGTCGACACTGATCAAGATGCTTACCGGTGAGGTGGAGCCTACGGCAGGCCAGATGTGGAAACACCCTTCGATGCGTTTCGCCTACGTGGCTCAGCACGCTTTCCACCACATCGAGTCGCACCTCGACGAGACTGCGAACCAGTACATCCAGTGGCGTTTCCAGTCTGGTGAAGACAAGGAGCTTCTGGCGAAGGAGACGCGCAAGTTGTCGAAGGAGGAGAAGGAGCACTTCAAGAAGCCGGTGAACTGGGAGGGCGAGAAGCGCGTACTGGAGGAGATCGTGTCCCGTCGTAAGTTCAAGAAGAGTTTCGAGTACGAGTTGAAGTGGGAGAAGTGCCCGGTGGACGACAACGCGTGGGTGCCTCGTGAAAAGTGTGAGAAGTGGGGCTGGGACAAGCTGTTGCAGATTGCCGATGACCGCGAAGCAGCTCGCGCGAACTTGCAGTCTCGCCCGCCCACCGCCATTGCCGTGCAGAAGCACCTGGACTGCTTCGGTCTGGGTGCTGAGTTCGGCACGCACTCGCGCATGCGTGGTCTGTCTGGTGGTCAGAAGGTGAAGGTCGTGCTGGCCGCTGCCATGTGGCTGAACCCGCACATCCTGGTGCTCGATGAGCCGACGAACTACCTCGACCGCGACTCGCTCGGTGCTCTTGCGTCGGCGATCAAGGAGTTCAACGGCGGTGTGGTCATGATTACCCACCACAACGAGTTTTCGTCGGCGCTGACGCAAGAGACGTGGAACGTGGAAGCCGGCCACCTTATGATTGAGGGCCAGCAGGTCGAGGACAAAACGAAGATCGAGCAGAAGGACGAGGAGGAAGTCATCGACGCGTTCGGCAACGTGACGAAGACCAAGGTGAAGCGCAAACTTACCCGCAAGGAGAAGAAGGCCAAGGACAAAGCGCGCAAGGAGGCAGAAGCGTGCGGCGAGTACTGGAGCGACTCGGATGCGGAATAGGCGCTTTTATATGCCGCATGTGCGATCGATCGTTTGATCGATCTTTTATTATGCTATAGAAGTCTTGTGTGGTAAGAAGTAGAATGACTCGGAGAGGCGGATTCTGAACGCAATGAAGACGCCGTCGTGCACCCCATTTCATCTCTTGCCCGTCGTCTCCTTCACGTTGCACTGAATCGACTCGCACACTCGTCTGTGGTCATTCGTTGAGTCTAACACATACTGTAAACAAGTAGACCCCCGTGTAATGCGCTCGCTGTCTATGGAGCAGATCGACTTTACTTGCACATGATGCTTCCACACCCTCTCGCAGTGCCGCGTCCTATTCCTCAGTACCCTACGACGGATCACTTCCCATCGACGTCTCCGATACACCACTTGCATTGTGCAAAACACTCACGTGTCATTGTAGTGCTTACGAAAGAACACGCCGATGCTATTCTCGGGTTTCTTCCTCGACAGCATCTCGAGAGCACTTGTCTTCTTGCCTCTCGTCCGTCCTGCCGAAGAGCGATCTCGAGCAACACATGCGTCCATGTGCACGTTCACCTCCATCCGATTCCGAACATTCAGCAACTTTCCACATACGGGACACGGCTTTGCATCTGCAGCAGCCTCTTCTGCATTGTTTTGGACACGGGCAAACACGTGCGGGATCCCGTTCTTCATCAGCTGCTTCCGTACCACTCGCTGCGCAGACGGCCTCAACGACGAAGAGGGTGTGCTCACGACGCACACATCCATGTGAGCATTCACCTCAACATTGTTCCACACATTTAACCGTTTCCCGCAAACCGGACACGGCTGATGTTCCACTTCCACTGGACTCTTCGCGCTCAGTGTGGGCGCAAACGCATGCGGACGATCGGGTATTCGTGTCTTCTCTATTCGTGCACGTCGGCTGTCGCTTCTGGCACAACGAATGCCATCCGGTGCACTCAACTTGAGCTGGTCATCAACTTGATCCGAAAGGGTCTTGTCGTTTTCTGGATAGGACCTCTTTTTGCTGGACAAAGTGGTTGCTACGAGTGCAGGAGAAGGAATCTCCGCCGCATCGACTTGTTTTCGGACGACGCTCCCGAGTTCGCTTCCAGTGTCTACTGCCGTGAACACCGTCGCGGGATCGTCCACGTGTTCAGCAAACTGATGGATCGCAATTTGCCGCTTCTTGTTGTGCCCCATCAACCCCTTCTGAGCACTGTCCCTCAATGTCTTTGCACGGGATACCAACGTAGCTGCCCGGACGCCCATTAGACGCAACGTGAGCGGCAACTCACGGCGTAACAACTCGACGGCCGTCGCAAACAGATCATCGGCCGTGAACACCGCAGATGCGAGCGTCGTGGATCGCGAACAGCGGGCAAAGTTCGTGTCCTTGAAGACAAACGTCACGTTCTTTGCCGCTTTTTCAGCCTTCTCAAGATCAGCGGCGAGCACGACGCAGATCTCCTTGCACTTGGCTTCGAGCTGCGTGGGATCGCTCAACCGCGCAAACGTGCGCTCGCGGCTAAAGCTCTTGCGCTCTTGTTTCTCGCGTCGCTCGCGCACGCCAAGTGAGGTCCGTAGCAGCCACTCGGCCGTCTTGTCCGAAAACAAGTACGCGATGTGCCCACGCTGTGCGAACAGATCTGCACCAGTGGACACGTTCAGCGCTTCGTTGAGTATCTTCTCCGTGACTTTGCCAATGCCGCCGATCTTGCGCACCGGTAAGTCTCGAATGAAGCTCATCACACTCTCGCGCGTGAACGGCAGCACGTACTGCCCATTCGGTTTGTTCATATCCGAGCAGATCTACGCGCACGACAACACGAGCAACAGTCAGATCCAGCGGGACACACTAGCAAGAGAAAGAGCATAGTTTGACCGTGCCTTGGCCAGCATCACGTTCGCTGCAATCCCAGCGCTGGCCGTAAGCTGCGTGTTGTCGAAGATCCGCTCGCGTAGCTCACAAACAATCACTTCTGCTAGCGCAGCCCGTCCAGCAGCCGTTGCTGTCCACGCTTCCTCGTCATCCATTGCGATATTTGCAGCATGGCTTGCAGCAGCTGACACGTGCTTCTGCCAGTGCGTGGTCACGTAGTCGGTCAGGTCAAGACACGCTTCATCGAGACTGAACGCCTCAAAGTCGGGGTCGTACTCGGCAAACACTACGCGGATCTGAGCCGCAACGCGTTTGTACTTCTCCATGTTCACCGGTACAAAGTGGAGCTCCGGACAGAGCTCTTTCGCAATAAAGCCTGGCATGGCCGCACGCACGCCATACTGCCTCGCTGCGTAGTTGGCCGTGCTGATCATATTGAGTCCACCGACCGCAAGCGGCACGTCCCGCAGCTCGGGTTTGTCCCGCATCTCGACCGCCGCGTAAAACATGTCCATGTCGACGACCACAATGATGCGCGAGAGGTCGCGCGCCGCCTCCATCTGAGCCACGCGGACGTCGGTCTCCTGTTGCAACCGCAACAGCTGCGCGCGTGACAAACGCGAGAGCTTCTGTCGCATGGCAACCACTCGCTGCTGGACCTTTTCGTTGTCACGTAGGGACTTTTGATAGTACGTCGAGTCCTTTGACATCTTGTGCACCACCTCCTGGACGTGCTGCTTGTCGACGCCCTTCATACCCGCCTTTTCTGCTGTAAACACAAACATAGACGACGTGGCAGCAGCAGCTGAGGCTGCATTGTCAGTGCAGGTGTCGCCTGTCACGGTCTCCATCCTGCGTGTCGCTGTTGCACGGAATCAGACCACGTGCAAATCGACAAGTGAGCTCTTCAAACAGTCGCGAGTGTTGTGGTGTGGTGCACACGACCGACCGCGTTCAGCGCCAATCAAAGCAACTCGAGCTTAAACCGGCGCCAAACCAGATGGGTTTACGCAATGCACACAGATGGGTACATCAAGGTGGCTTGACAACGGGGCTTGACAGCATGCAAACGAGTTTACATTGTGCACCTCACGCGTCTATTTGGCTTCGTCGCTAACGTCACTTACTCAGACGCCTGCTAGATCCAGCGCTTCGAGCGACCGCGTGAGCGGAACATCCTGCAGTGCCTCGTCAATGACCGCCTCGACTTGTTCACTGCCGTCGGCCACTTCGCCAATGCGGTTTCGACTGGCTTCTTCGAACTGACGTAAAATGGCCTCGGTCTTTCCGACGTCGGTCTCCCACTTGAGACTCGGCGTGCCGTTGCTCAGGTTTCCAGCAGCATCGAGCGTGTTGGCAGTCGCGAGCTCCAAACATGGCTGGCGCACAGTCATTGTCGGGTGTTTCGTGACGCGCACGCCGTTCCACAGCCACTCTGGGACATCTGCGCCAACGACAATCTCCTCTGAAAAGGCAGCCAAGTACTCAGACTCGTCTTTTTCAATGCCGTGGTCCCGTGTAAACCTGCAGCAGTCAACAATCGAGTCTTTTAGCACGTACGTATCCGTCCATAGCATCTCGTTGTATTGCCGTCAGCTGCGTCACCTGCAAAACTCCGAGATCGTCGCCAACTTGGTCCAGTGCAAGAGCTTCCGGAGCACCATGACGACAATGCCCGTGACATTGGCGCCATCGAGACAGTGTAGATAGAGCGGGAGGTGCTGCACCTGCACGATAAGATTCAGAATCTGCGCGGTGGTAGCCGGCGAGACAGTCACGTTGTCCGACGTGAACTTCTCGGCATAAAAGTGCCGCAACGTGATCTTTTCCGTGGCGCAAAAGGCCGCCAAGTCGCTCGTGGGCGGCTCGGGGGTCACCGACACGACCGTCTTGAGCCCCAAGCGCCGCAAGAAGCGAAAGTTCTTGAGCGTGGGGTACGAACCGCGGTACAGTCCCTGCTGGACGGTGCTGAAGCGAAAGGGCGGGATCAGCGCCGGCGCCGTCGCGTTCATATCGTCTGCAGATCAGGAACGCACGTCGCGACGTAGCTTGTCAGGCGCGAGTGGTACCGTGTACCAGTCGAGCACGCTAGAAGCGCTGCGACACGCGCGCGTGCAATCGCATGATCGTCATCACCGTTTCTATTTCTGTGCATCGACAGGCGCTGGCGCACTCTCGTCATTTCTATTTTTGCACGCAAGTCAACAAGTGACGTTCTTGATACGAAATAAAACAAAATAATACGAAAAAAAGAGAGAGAACGAGTAGAGCACCGACATGTTTGTGCTGATCAATGTGACGGACAATCCGTGGCTAGTGGCGCTGCTGCTGTTCGTGCAAGTGGTGATGCCGTTGCTGCAGAGCAATGCCGCCGACAACGAGGGGGTGTCGCTCGCACTGAACGTCGCGCTGCTGTTTTTGCTCGCGCTGTCGTGTCTGACCTTTTGGAAAGTCGCGCAGTTCTGTCGCGTTCTCTATCAGCTCCGCGGACAGGTACTGCAAACGACCCGTATGGGTACACTGTGTAGCTACATTGACCTGCCGCATTGCTTACTCTGCGATCGCGATTGTCGCTGTTGTTGTTGTTGTTGTTGCTGCTGTTGCTGTTGCTGTTGTTGTGGTTGCAGCATTCCGAGATGGGGTGGCCCGCGTTCTTCCGCGAGGCCTACGCGCGGGCGGCGCACGTCGCCCAACAGCGAGAAGCGCATCTCTACAATCGAGCGACGCAGGAGGACGTGCGTTCCGAGTCGTTCAATCGCACGCTGCGCACGGTCCAAGCCATGCCTACAGAGGAGTTCAAGACGCCGGAAGAGCTGGCGAAAGCCAGTATTGCCGACTTGAAGCAGCGACTCGCGCGTCGCGACGTGGACGTTACTGGATGTGTCGAGCGCCAAGAACTGGTGAAGCTCTTGGTCGAGTTCAGGGGCGGGCCATCGAATAACGACACGTGCTGCATCTGCTGCGACGAGTACCAGACCGGCGACGTCTTGCGTCTGCTTCGCAAGTGCAAGCACGAGTTCCACCTCGAGTGCCTCGACAAGTGGGCGTTCACGTCGGCAAACTCGCAGCGAGCGCCGTCGTGTCCGCTTTGCACGCAACGATTGGAGTAGGGTTTGTGCACGCGGGTCCGGTCGACTGCGTATGAGGACATGCAAGGAGGGGACAGTATGTACGCCAAAGCGCGTATCATTATGGACGCTACGAGTGGTCTGCTCGATACACGCCACCTGTGTGCCGTCGCGTCATGTATAATGTGCGTCAAGCTTTGTACTGCAACAGGATATGACTCGACGACTCGACGTGGGCGGTCCAGACACAGCGAAACGTGCGGCATCTTTTCTGCACCATCTAGAATGGCTTCAACTTGCTGGAACGGGACTAGGGGTAGCTGCTGTCCGCTTCTGCCATTGGTGGAAACAACACGCGGTCGACCAGTAGCCATGTAGCCACTGGTGCCAGCACACCTGACGGGCATCATGTCGTCGCTGCGCTCGTTGGCCGCTGCCCGCCGCTCGGCGCTTCTCACTGCCCGCAGTACGCCCACTCACTTGCAAGAAACTCTGTCACTTGTACTATCAACTGAGTCTCTGATCTGCTCTGCTTGCAGTCCACACAGCGGTTACGTCTTCTGCTCAAGGTCGTGCCCGTACGTGTGCACGTGTCAATTCATAGCTACATTGCTAGTCCTCATGGTTGACTTGCAGCAGTCTCACTGATCGATGCCATGTATTGAGCACATGCCGTTGCTACAGCGCTTTTGCTTTCCTATGGTGACGGGTTTCTCGGTGCACTGGGCACTGGTAGCTACGAAGACGTGTTGAAGCCCACGCCGTTACCGACGACGACTGATCTGTCTGTCAAGGAGATGTCGGCTGGCTGGGCCCATGCCGGCTTTGTCACACGTGCTGGAGACGCCTATGTATTCGGACGGACGCACTCGTTTCGTGACGTTATTCGCACTACGAACATGCAGCGCGTTCTTCCGAAGCTCGTCACGTGGATGAACCGCTTCACGCGTATGCGCGGAGTCGACACGCTAGAGCCAATGCGGTTGGCTATGCCTGAGGGAGAACGAGTCAAGACCATCGTGTGTTCGACGGCGTTGACGTTCTTGCTGACGGAGAGTGGCAAATTGTTTACGCTGGGTGCGAATAGCTACGGTCAGTGCGGTATTGGCGAGGAGAGCGTGAGTGTGCAGCTGCCGACGCACGTGAACATCGACAGTGATGAGATTGTGGACGTTGCTGCGGGGTACCAGCACGGACTTGCGGTGACAAAGAATGGGACGGTCTTTACTTGGGGCAAAGGAGAACGTGGCCAACTCGGGTGCGGCACGGGAAACACCGACGCGCCGCAAGAGCTGATTGCGCTGAAGGACAAGAAGATCGTCCAAGTGGGTGCTGGCTTCAGTCACTCGTGCGCCCTTTCAGGTTTGTGGTTTCGATCGTGGCTTCGCTTTCCATAATGTGCTGACTTTGCGTCTCGAAATGCGTGTACGTAACAGAGGATGGCGAGTTGTATATGTGGGGGAAGCTGCTAAACTTGAAGGGTAAAGCTGTAAGCAACGGCGACCAAGTTGTCCCGCGACTCGTCCAAACTAGCGATGCTGTGAAGCTCTTCAAGTGCAGCCAATTCCACACTGCTTTCATCACTGGTAAGGTTGGACGTGTACGACTTACTGGCTTTATTTTGACAACGTTTGCTGCTCGCTCTTGTGATGAAGCTGACGACAAGATCTGGCTGGCGGGTCGCACACCCTCAGGCCGTCAACAAAGTAACGATCTTGCGCACGTTACATCGCAGATGCACACGACACCACTTCAGATTACCAAGGACGACGTTGTCTCTGCAAAAGACATCTTGAAAATCGGCTCGGGCGTCGATAAGTCGTCTTTTATTACGGGTGCGTCAGCTGCCGAACATATTCGTGCATTGCTGAGTATGACGTGGTGTTTTGTAACACGCTGACATGCTGTGATGCCCCGTAGCTGACGGCCGAGCGTTCGAATGGAACTTTGAGTCTGGAATCCACCAAATGGAAGAACTTGGCGGTTTACAAGTCGTGTCAGCAGAGAGTGGCTTTCACTACCATCTTCTCTTGGCACAGCCCACAAGCTAGGCACATTGCGATGTCGAATGCGACGACGTTTTCGCTTCTTCCTGACTCAATAAGTCATAGATTACAAGGTGTTTACGTGTTTAGATATCAAACTCTTCTTTAGATACGAGCACTGGCTTAATACGCCGCCGCGAACGGCCCGATGTCGACATCAACTTCTTGCTTCGGTCTTTGTCACAGCTGTCTTTTGCCAATGCTCCAGGATTCAATGCTTCCTCCTCGCCTTCTGCGGCAATTTGGTGAACTTCGTCACCAAACTCTGGTAGGCCGCATGTAGAGTAGAAGTGGACGATATCGCTTTCGTCGCTGCTACTCACTCCTTGGTTGCTAGTGGCAGATACTGCCACCTCGAAAAGTTCTGGCGGTGCCTCCAAAGTCACCAGCTCGTGAACAGGGGTGTATCCGTCTTCACCAACATCAGTCTCAGGCACCATCCACACGTAAGACACGTCGACCACGTTTTCATCATTTGTCCGCTTGCCAGAACGCTTCCAGATATCGAAACAAGTCACGTCTGGGTCTTCTTTCGACCACTTGCCCACGCCCTTCTTCTCAAAGAAGCACAGAACGGCTTCTTTCGGTAACCACGGACGCACTTTAGCCCACTTCTTGCTCATATGTGCTGTAATCTCTGATATCCTCTTGGTCGATGACAATTTGAGCTCTACCTTTGGCCGGTAGCCACCGCGTACCACATGGGCCTTCGTTCGCTTGTCCTGGGGAACCATTCGCATCTTCATGTACATCTTCTTCTGCGACAACTGTCGAGGTGTATGGAAGGCCACTTCACTCTGCATGCGCGACCTAGACCGCTTATCGACAGGAGACGGGCTAGTAAAAGCAGTAGCCTTTACTACATCCCGGCGCTTTCTAATGACAGGTGAACAAGTCATGGACACACTGCGCTTGCGTTTCAATGTCGATCCACCTGCTGATTCGCTGCTGGCCTGTCGCATGGTTGGTAAAGACCGCACCTCTTGACCATTCTGAGGGATCGAGGCAGAACTAGCACAAGCCAATGAAGCCACCTGATCCAGCGACGCAGAGTGCTTCTTTCGCACCATGGGATAATGAATCTGCACTGAAGAGGACGGTGGAGCCGTGTCATCTGCTCCAGCGGCATAGGAGCTAAGGTTTGACCTAGAAACCCACGCCGAGATGGAAGGCTGCTGGCCAGGCGCTGGCGCATCGCTGGTCAGAGTCGATTTCTCCGACTTGGCCTTGAGCATTTGACGACGGCTACGAATGATGGACTGAAGCAGCACATTCGCCAAGTTGGTCTGCACCAATACAGTCGCGGAATCAAAGGCAAGAAACCTGCACGTTCGTACAACAACAGTTAGAAGCGCGTAAGCGACTGTGGGCTCAATCATCCGCTCATCCAAATCTTACTCGTCGCAGTATTTCTTGTCAGCGATTAGCTTGCTCCAGCACCATAGAGCAATGCGCACTTGGTCTGGGTTTGTCAGATCAACGTCGTTGTCCACGCTGCGCAGCATCGTCGCAATATTCTGCATCACGGTTGTGTAAAACTGTCGCACCTCCATCACATTCTTGGTGCGAATCTTGGTGCTAATGGCGTCAAAGCGCTGCAGCAGCAACGAGCTGAAAGAAGGCGCTCGTTCACCCTGACGTGTCGGCGGCCACTTGAGTTTGAACAAGGCGAAAAACGTATTCTGCTCGTGCTGCTGCCACGACGAGCTCCTTGTCCTAGGACGAGCTGTCGTCACAGCTGTCTCTTTTCGTGTCTTGCTCGATTCGAGCTTGCTGACCTGTTGTGTTGCTGCGTCCATTGCATTTTGTTTTACACTAGAGCTGGTCGTTTGGCACAAAGCGTGAGCGTTTTTCGAGCGTCTGCGAGGCTTCTTGAGCAAGCTCGTGGCTGCTGATGTAGCTGCAAAAGGCTCTAGAATTGGTGATAACTCTGTATCAAACGAGAGCTCCAGAGCTGCGTCCAGTAATTGAGTATCGAGGTCATCCAGCTCCATCGTCAATCCAGACTCAAGTACCAGGGACTGTTCCGAAGGCTTTTCGACAGCAGCAGTATGGGGGCTACATGTGCTAAGGGATGGAGCTTTTGGCATTGGATCATCAGCTTCAACGTCCATATAGAGAGGCAGCTGATTGAGCTCTTCATTGTCCATCCACGCCGTGTGAAGCTCCAAGAGGCTGGTAGACTCGAACGAGTCTAAGTACCATCAACACAACAGAGAAGACAGAATTGACACACGATATTAGTATACTAGACGTGGTGGTGACAAGAGGGCGCAATCGCGCACCAGGACCGAAGTGGGAGGCAAACGCGAGACTGTCTTCCATGGCCACGATAGAGGTCGGCATGGACTGTCTGAGCGTAAACAGCAGCGGACAACTCGCGACAGGCGAGAGAAGCTGCGAGCGTCGCGGCCGCGTGGTCGGTAGAGAACGGACAGCTCGTTGTCGGTGGGTGCAGTCGGAAAGACGAGTGCGAAGCGCAGTGGCAGATGAAAAGTGCCCTTTTCTCGATCCGCAGAAGTACTTTGAGCTGTTTGGGGCGCAGTTACGCGCGAAAACGCGCGAGATTTGGAACAGGCCAATCACCAGCGAGAGCGGAGCCCGCCAAAAATAAGGTGTGCGAGCGAGATGTGGACCACGTTAAACTCGACATCGCGTTGTGAGAGGATTGTAGCGCGATACAGCACGAGCATTTGCGGCCGTCGATATGTTGACTACCGAGCGACCAAAAAGTGACCAACCGCTTCTATGATTTTAATCTGATGGAAAAAGGTCGTTGTGTGACATGAGTGTTGTGAATGGGAGAGACGTCGTCGCCGAAAGAGCATCTTTCGTCGACGACGACACTAGCCAAATGACACCATGTGCAGCATCGTACGGTAAATTTGCATGGATCGTCTATTTACCTATGTTGCCGGCTTGTCCTATATTACATGTTGAGTGTAGCACAGCTACACAGCTCCTTAAGTCAAAGGAAGACTAAACTCTCAATGAGCAACTTTGGTTCTACGAACCCGACTCAGAAAGTCAACAGCTCAGAGAGCTAATGTAACGGGGCACACCCTTGCGTGAACTTTACACAAGGGTTTCGGGTGCCCCGACAGACGTACACGAGGCGAACGAGGAAGCGTAGGATAAGGAATAGTAAAACTGTTATATTAATATACTCAAGTCTTTTAACCACTGTCTCTCTGTTTGACTTAACTTAATTATGCTAATATAACTGAGTGTATGGTGACGTCTCGTCACCACTCATTGCGCGCGTCCTGCGGCGATTGGTTGGTTGATATCATCACGATATCAACCAACGAGCGACCCTTTGGTCGCTTCACCAATATCACCATTATCGGTGATATTGTTCAAAGAATATTCACTTAATATTCTTTATTGTCACTTTCTTTCAAAGTGACACTTCCATGTAACGGGCTGCCCCGTTACAGCTAAGGTTTGGTTCATAGAACCCGACTCAAAGTCAACAAGCTCAGAGAGCTTACGGTTTCTGTTCCAAAGGGACCAAGCGATTCAAAGAATTAAACGCACAGATTGCATTAGGAGTAGCTGCCTTAACAAGGCGTTGCTAAACTCCTTAACGATCAAAGACGCCTCTGAGAGGTACGTGTCTTTTGTGGATCAAAATGGGAACTGAACTTTATTTCTTCTTTTAACCTAAAAGAACACCTTAGAACAACGTAATTACCCAACTCGCTAGTGTCCTAAAAGATCTCGTAATCAATGGTTGACAGACATCAGTCTTCAACGATTGATACTGTGTTCCAATATCATTTTAAAGGGGATCCCATCCCTTGTGTGCACCACACCTATTGTCGACTACCAGTCGACGTGTAACCCCGTTATAACCTCCCCCACCAGACTGACGTTACCACAAAACGTCAATCGAATTCTTTCCTCGAAGAGGACGGTGTGTGTGCGCTTCAACCTTCACGGTCTGCAAAACACGAAACACCATGGCATCGCCACACAATGAGTCCTCGACTCTCTCTTCGTACCTCGGCATTGATGTGGAGGTGGAATATGGTAGTGATAACGATATTTTATGGTGAAGAGAGGACAATGTCCAACTCACCAGCGCAAGAGGCCCCGCCTCATACTGCACCGAACCCATTTGCCGAGCGTGGCAAAGCCAACGCGCCACCGGAGCTGCATCAAGCTCCCATCGTGGGCGATGCCATCATCACCAATCCGCTCGATGAGCAACAAGAGATGGATATTCAACGAGAGGAGAGCGCTCAGCGCCGTATGCAGCTTGCTGCAACCCTTGAGGGTCGCCGTAGCTATCTGTTCACCCCACTCAGTGTGGAAGAACGTAAACGCCAAACGACAGGACGTTCTTTGGCAACGTAGGTCATTGGCATTGAGCCAACATTTCCTGATGAGGTGGCGAGTCGACAGGTACCTCGCGAGAGGTACCTACAACCTTACTTGACGACTCAGAGTCGATGCAAGCTGCGACTTGACAGGCAAGCACGAGGTGCACCGGTTCCACGGATGAAGGGTATACACATCCTCCTATTCGCAGGCGAATTACAGGAGGAAGAACACATCGCGTTTGTTCGCTGGGTGCATCGGAAACGATACCTCAGTAGCGTGTAAGCTCTCAGAGCAAGTGCCGATGTGGCAGATGTTCGTCTAGAACGAAAGCTTCGGTATGATTACGCCAAGCTTAAGTCCAGAGGCCAGTTGCGAACTCGCACACGCTATGCTCCGGCTATGCCGGCTGATGTGGGTGTTGGCCACGCGGTACCCAGCTATCCACCTGCCTCCACCACTATTGGTGAGAAGCGCTCTCGGTCGAGGGATGACCCTTGCCACGATGTTCAAAAACATCCACGGCGTATGGGAAATCCTGCCGAAGGGGTATCTCAAACTCCCACGAGTTCTCCGACTCCGGGTACCCTCGCCACTTCACCAGATACTGGTATTGACCCTGACGACGATGTCGTTTCAGGAGTCGCTCCACATGGAACTGGCGGTTCCCTTGCTCATCGAGCAGCGTCGGAGGTGGTCGGTATACCGAAGGAGGAGCACTAAAAGGTGCTTCTCGAGTTAAGTGGTCTCCGCGAAACATTGGATAACACCCAGAGTGCGTTTGACGCGATGCGAGCCCGTGTCCAGGCGCTGGAGTTAAGGCAAGCCCGTATGGAGGCTCAGCTTGACCTCCTGATACGGATTCAGCAACCGATGGCAAGGCCAACCTATTCGACGCAAGCGCCTCCAAGTTCACGTGGGACGGATCCCGATACGGCTTGATCAAGCCCACGTAGAATACGGGGTGTGTGCGCAGTTTGCGCGGAAGGTTGAGCGTATACGCAAGTCCCTTCTTGGCGACGACCGTAAATGGTCCAATGAAGCGCGGACGTAACTTTGTCTTGAAGACAGCAGACACTACATTTGTAGTAAAGTTTTTATCATTGAGTAGAACTTGGTCTCCAACCTCATAACGTTCAATACAACCTCTGCCTTTAGCATCAGCTTGTTCCTTCTGCTTGTCTTGGCTATCAGCCAGTGCGTCACGCACACGTCGTAATACATTCAATCGCTTTGCGAGAAACTCGATTACCTGTTTTTGAACAGTAGAAGGTCTGACATCAGCAAGCCGAACGGCAACTCCTCCCCCACCAAGCCCTGAACCACGTAGTGGTAGCGTTAACGTAAGGCGAGGGTGTGTGAGACCATTAACATAGAACGGTGTGTGGCCTGTAGAGGCATGAACAGCGTTGTTCAACGCAAACTCAACAACAGGGAGCATAGAACTCCAACGTTTTGGTGTATTAGCGCAAACACTGCGCAAGCTGTCACCGATGATGCGATTCACTCGCTCGGTTTGACCATCAGTCTGCGGATGATTCGCTGTGGACATGTCCAAACGTGTGCCGAGCACCTTGAAGATGGATTTCCAAAACTTCCCAGTGAAGCGAGGATCTCTATCAAAGACAATTGCCAACGGCAAACCGTGTTGTCGAAACACGCTATCGATAAACAGCGTAGCTGTACCTTCACCATCAATGGTATCCGGCCCCGCCGCTAAATGAGCTATCTTGCTAGAACGGTCAACAAAGACCACAATACCCGTATTGCGTTGTGCATCTTTCGGCAAACCTAACAGGAAATCCATGCTGATGGACTCCCAACACCCCTTGGGTACAGGCAAACTAGCCAGTGGCGCGGCCGCGTGAGGTGAGGGTTATACCCGTTGACACGTTTCACACGTACGCACATATGTGCTCACCCATTTGTATAGTTTAAGCCACCAATAGCATTGGCTAACTGAGCCGTAGGTATTCTCACGACCGAGATGACCACTCAACGTAGTATCATGTGCCTCACAGAGGATCCGATACTCCAACTCCTCATCAACATCATGAGGGACAACGATGCGAGGGGTATCCTCCACATCCGTGATATAGCACAACAGGCATTGATCGATGGAATATCGATGTAACCTCGCACGTAAACGTGCCGAAAAATCTAGGTATGAGTCTCGCTATCTAGAGCACGTAGCAGAGCCACACAGTGATCATCCTTGGCATATGACGTACTGATTAGGTCAGTGACCGACGACGACAGAGTCGTAACATGAGCAAGCTCATAGTCAGGTCGGCGTGACAACGCATCAGCCATAGCATTCTGCTTGCCCGGCTTATACTTCACCTCGAAGTTGTGCTCGGCAAAGAAGGAAAGCCAACGAGCCATTATCTGAGAGATATGGGAAAATGAATCGCAGTGCGTAGTGACGCATGATCTGTATAGATCACAAAGGCTTAGAGCCAAGAAGATGAACTCTAAATTTGACGATATAATACTTCATTGCAAGTAGCTCTTTGTCATGAACAGGAGCGTTCTTTTCTGCAGCCTTCAGCTGCCGGGACTAAAACGCAATGACGCGTTTCCGTCCATCAGAATCTGTCTGCAACAGGGCGCTGCCTATGGCAAATTCAGATGCGACACAGACGAACTGAAAGATAGGTCAAAATCAGGCAAAGCCAAGATTGGCGCATGAACGAGACTCTCCTTTACTGATTGAAAAGCATCATGCCCGGTGCTAGTCTAGCACCATTCCACATCCTTTTTACAGGAGATTGGATAATGGCTGAGCCATGTCTGCGTAATTCGCACTGTACTTGTGTAAGTCATTGGCAAGGCCAAGCCACTTACGTAAGTCCTTTTGGTTCTTTGGAACCGGCCAATTAACTATGGCTTTTGCCTTAGCGGGATCCGCTCTAAGACCTCGCTTACCAATAAAGCACCCGAAAAAGGGAATCTCTTCTCCACCAAAGATGCACTTAGACGCGTCGGCGTACAACTTATTCGTGCGCATGCACTCGACC